TTTGGCAGCGTTCTTGGGGGGGGGGGGGGGGGTAGTCATCTCAATGCTTAAATAGTCATGTATCGTGCATCTCATTTTATGCTTAGACTTAACTTACCCACAGACATGGGATGGCAATCACTAATATCCTTCCTGGATACCTATTTCACATCTATGAATTCTACTGGATCCATGCACCCAGCCTTTGTTGATGGGAAGAGCACACAAAAATCTGTTCTGGTTCCTTTTGCTTCACAGATAAGCCAGCGCTGTGAGACTCTCCTTTGTGGCCTCCTGCTCTTCTCCTCACTATTTAAATGCATTTCTCAGTTCAGCAGAACACACTTCAGCATGCCCATCTGCTACTGAAGTCTACTTATAAGACCTGAACTGCTTGGTATGTGGTACATAGGTTTGCAGGCATTGGTGGTTCTGGGTACTGTGTGTGTAGAAGCATTTAAGGTTACTGTTTGGCACTATGTACTTGTGAGATTGTTTTACTATCTGTGACAGGTGTCTTGATAGTGCTAATTCTTCAAGTGATACTAGGCTCAAAAGTTAAATTTAAAAAATGCATTCAAGTACCTTAACTATTAACAAAAATGTGTATCACTCAGCTGTAGATCCTGAAATCATCTCTGAATTGGTGCTGACACTGTCCTTTCTTCTGGAGGGTGGCTACTTTTGTTCAATCTCAATACAAATTAGTAAACTAAACGTGAGATTGTAGTCCATCATGGGAGTGAGCTTGGAGCGGTGACTACTTTACAACACACACAGGGACCATGGAGAACAAAAATAGCCCCCCTCCAGAAGGAAGGACAGTGTCAGCACCAATTCAGAGATGATTTGATGATCTACAGCCGAGTGATACACAAATAAGATGCATTTTTTTGTCAATAGTTAAGGTACTTGAATGCATTTTTAAGATTTAACTCCCGAGTTTAGTGTCACTTTAAGCACAGTAACCAATGGCAATCAATCAGTATTTACTTTGAAGCCACATTTGGAGTTTACTTGCTAGTTTTAACTCTATATTTGTAGTGCTTGTGAACAGCATAGCACTTTGCATCCTTTTTCTTTTTTAGAGCTGGTAGTAGACAATCCAATTTCATATTGTGGCCTCAATTTTGGTGGTGCCTTTAGCCTTTGGGATTTGTACATATTTTTATAAGAGGAAATATGAGAAATATGAAGCATGTATGCATCTTATTTTTTACTGTACCTTGGGGTACTAAAAACATACGTATCCAGAATTGCTTCCACAAATGAGACGTAGGGCTGACCATGAGTATTCATGAAGTATCCAAGCATATTGATAGCACCAGCGCTCAAATGTCCTTCATCAAACAGGACGGACTATTTCAGAGAGAAATAAGAACATGGTATGAACATTTTGCTAGGATGGTAACTTGCCTTGTTTACAATTTAAAACAGAAGAATTAGTGGACATTGCAAAAAAGCCGACAGCCCTTGTGTAAGTTTGGCAAAGCCCTGCCCAATTCTTTTCTCAGTTGACAGTTCCAGACATGCAAATGTGTAGAGCAAAATACACATCTAGAGAAATCCCTGTGCTCAGTCAACTTACATTTTTGCTCTCAACACTGCTGACCTTATGCAGGGACATTCTGCTCCCAACAGTTGGTGATCTCCAGTGATTACATGAGTGTAGTGCAGCAGAGAATTGGCCTTGGCAATATGGCACCTGCTCTAGACATTGGCCTTTCTTGTACTTAGCCCTTCCCTGTAATTTTTGGCCACTATCTAGCCTGCAAGACACTTACAGGAGCACATCCCTGCCACCAATGCAGTAGAAAATGAGGAAGAAGAGTCGGTCTGCACTGATGCTTGCCTCAGAATATAAGCAGAAATCACAAGATACCTTGACACACTTTGCACCAAAGATAAATAATCATGCAGACAGGCTGAATGTAAGCAATGCAATGTTCACAGTGGCCTGTGACTGTGATAAAAGCAGTCAAAGTATAGTGAAAGGAAATTCAAGAAGTTACATACTGTATGTTAATTTTCTGGGTATCCCTGGTTATAATAAAAGAGCAAATGTATTTACAAAAGTAAAGATACTCTTTAAAATGTCAGCACAATACAGTACACATGGTGGTCACAGAACATACATGCAAACATTAAACCTTAACACTGACTGCAAACTAACATTTCCATTGCAAGTAGGCTAATGTCATGGCCTAATTATGTTACCTGCAGAGAAGCTCTGTCAAACTGGTCCAAGATTCCAGCACAGTTTTCTCCAATATTTCTTTTTATGAACTAAAAAAGAAAATGTGAGAAGTTACAATGGAGACTAGGGGGTTGATTTACTAACCTTATAAACACACCACGAACATGTATACACCTCTGTAGTGTGTTCCCTACCAGCATGATCTATGGGTGGAATCTAAACACCTTTGTAGTGTGTACACACCCAGCAGGTGTGTTGTGCAAAGCCCTGCCCTGAATTGCAAGGTGATGTGTAAATTAGCTCTACATTGTGTTGCTTGCGTTGATTGAATGCAGGAATGTAAATGCATGAGCTAACTATTTTTGTCTAAACTGTGAAGCAGCATTATATATGCATCATGTGCATGATTTTTCCATATATGGCATTAGTGGAAACATGCTTATAGAGACTTTTTGGTTGATAAATACGCTTTGCTGTGTAAAAATAACACGCACCTGGTGTGTGCGTGTGTTTAGGTTAGTAAATCACCCCCTAGATCTGCATCGGCTTTGTCTTCTGTTGCTCTCTGTATTTGAATGCTGGTTTTCATCCTAGTCATGACTCCATCTGCTTTTGTCTGCATGCAGTGCATTCTGGCACTCTGACTCTTCCTGTCTCATGTGGGCCTTTATTTGTTTAGCCAGGCGTATATTGAGAGTTGTACTTTTGCACAAGTCTATCTATACCTTCAGTGATTCTGGTGAATAGTAGATGTTTTTAGTCCCTGCACCACTTACCACGAGCTAGCAATGCGGTATATGGTTATCTGACTGGTCAAATCCTACACCTGCTTTCCTATTCTGTTCCTGCTCTGTCCTTGATTTACACCAGTGGTTCTCAGATCGTGATCGTGACTCAGGTCGAACTGCAATGAAACGCATGGCATTGCGGTTCTGCGCCTTCCGGTGTGGGTAATTGAACTGTGGGCGGGAGGTGCGTTTGGGGTGCCATTCAACTGAATGACAACGGAATGCACCTCCCACACCAGAAAGCATAGTAGTAGATAGATTACATGGTACAGTGTGTACAAGTGTGAACAGGCCCTCAAAAAAAATTACAGCCACATACAACCACACACACACATGCAAAATCAAAAAAAAATGTATTTATTTTTTTCTTTTTAAGATCCACCCAGTCTCCCTACCTTATGAGAACTGGAGTGGATCCTCAGCTTGGGGTTCAGTGTGCCAACCCCACCTCACACTACCTCAAGCTGACAATCTGTGCCAGGTGGACTTGTGCGCCGTCCAAAAATTTGTTCTGCTTCGTTTCGTTTCGGAATATCCGTTATTTTGTTTTTCGTAATTCGTGGCCGGAACTCAATTCGGATTCGGATGAAATATGAATTTTCGTTAGTGGCGGGTATATTTTCGTAACATTCGTTATGATGAAGTTAAAAAGCAAAATACCTTTGTTAATATTGGAGTTGATGTGGTAGTGGTTTTTTTTATCCGAAATACGAATTCCGTTAACGGATTCTGTATCCGAATTTCGTATTTCAGATTTTAAAAAAAACTACCATCAACTCCAATACGGATTCAGTATCCGAATAAAAAAAAACTACCATCAACTCCAATATAAATGTACTTTGCTTTTTAACTTCAATATAACGAATGTTCGTAACGGACATTCTTCACAGATAACTCCAAGAGCCCCACAAAACCTGTAGATAGAGACAGCAGTCCTCTGTTACCCATGACAATACCAATATTAAGGATATATTATATTCTGGGAACCAGTGGTTACCTGAAATGCGATTTCAGATAGGTCATCAATGGATTTTCCTTCTTCCTCAGGTCTCAATGTAAACCCAAACAGGTTTGGTTCCTTACTAACATCCTTCTGTAGTTGCCTTATGTTATTGAACAAGTATACGTTGTCTTCATCAGATATGATAAAGGGGTTTATCTGCAACTCATGCTGACGCACGTATTCCCGTAAAATCCTGTAAAAGTAAACAGATGCATGATTCCCAGTTTCCACATACTAAGGTTCACAAGGCTTTCTGGGAAATAAATGGACTCTGCACTTACTGATAGGATGGAGCATTGATGGAGAGTGTAAACATGAAAATCTGAATCCTCAGAGAATTGGCAGCCTTAGCTTTGAATTATCAGTAGGTACAGAGGTGAATTTTAGAGAATTATATGTAAAATATTTATCAATACAAAAGAGTCTTTTATAGTTACCTGTGAGATAGTGGAATACGCATGGGTCCCAGCTCTCCATACCAGCCCTCTGGGTCTCTATAGGTCAATACACGACCTCCTACTCGGTTACTGGCCTCCAGCACTGTCACCTGAGGTATAAAGCTTAGGGTGAATATTTTCCTATAATGTTTCTACTAACACCAATCTTATCCGCCATTAATTAAACTGGAACTCCAGTCCAAAAATGTTTATAATTCTGATTTGAGTGAAAAAGGGCTAAATATCTGTTGGGTTTTTTAAGCTTCTGGTTTTCACCTTGAAGAGATTTTCTCTTACATTTACCATCTCAACAAGAAATCCCCAACAGGGACACCAGCAACAATAAAAATCTGACTGAAGTTCTAAACTTGTCCTGTTCTATGCACAAGCTAAACAAAAGGTTTGAATAGAGTTCTCTGTTAATGAGTCATTTTAGCTTTGGATATGGTCTTCCAAAAGCTCTCCCACCAGGCCTATGGTGGCCTTTAGCAGTCCTTAGGATTACGGCTCTCTTTATGGGAATGAATGGGGCCATGGCGCGCATGTGAGGAATGAAGAAGACCCAATGGATTTGAAATAGAAGAAATAGAAGTTGTGTGGATAGAATCGCTGGAACAGGGAGAAAATAAAGTGTCGGAACAAGTGGGCTGCACTTGTGGTGGTGGGAGTATGACTTAAAGGACAACATAAAGGACTATACCAAAGGTATAGTTGTCTGGCTATGTACTGTATTGTTAAATGGCACTGTGAAAACTTGAATTTGACCTGGCAGCAGCACCTTACAGTCCCTGTATAGCAGAGTTCAGATTGGATGAGCAGATGGGAGAAGCAGCACAAGGGGCCAGTTAAGAGTGTGGTCATAGAGAAAACAGCAGAGTGACAGAGAGATAAACTCATCAATCTGATGCTTCTTCTTTCACTGTCCATTCACGGGCTGGAGGAGGGAAAAGACCTGTAAGTATTACTTAACAGTAAGAGAAAAAAATTAGGTCTCCTGCCCTGGCAGTCAGGGCAGTGCTGTGTGGCAGAGCTATTAAAAAGACATGAGTGGATGGGCAGAAATACAAATTATTTGGCAGGCACAGCTACCATATATGTATTTTATATATGTGCATTTAGTTGTATGCTTGGAATTCAGATTTAAATTGACATCCTGTCTTATTTTTATCTACTGGTACAGTTGTCAAACCTTTTTTATATACCAGTTACCACTCCATTTAAAGTTTAATTTGGTTACAGCTATCAAACCACACCTAGTTATTCCACTTGACTGCGGTAACTAATTTAGTAGTAATAATTCCAAACAATAGCTAGTAGAGATGTAAATTAGTTTTGTTTTGGATCGATTCAGATTTTTAATTCTTTAGTTTTTTGGGATTTCGGATCTGAAATTCGATTCGGTTTGTTCGGATTTCATATCCATCCGAATTTTCGTTTCAGAAAACAAAAACACATGTCCAATTTAGATTTGTTTTGAACCTTACAGATTAGATTTATTTTTCTATTTGTCCTGGTCCCCCTTGTCACTAACAAAGTAAATTCAAAATGTTACAGTTGTCACCAGAACAAGAGGTAAGAGGACATCTTCCAATATGGACATTTGCTATGGTGGTAAGTAGGGATGTTCAGATACCATTGCCGATACTTGGCATTTTCACAAGAACTACCAGGGTTGCAGCGGTTGCAGCTGGGACCGGGCTCTGGCGCTCCACCACTGTCCTGAAATCATTAGTCTGTATTGTTTTAGAAAAACTGTCACATGACAATAAGCAAAAATGAATCAGTAATTGTATCCAGGGCAGCCATCAGGGGGGTACGGCCGATACCCATGTAAGGAGCCCGGGCAGCCTGGGGGGCCCGCCCAGTTCCCTTACATGACTATCGGCCGACGGTGAAGGGCAAGGAGGCGGAGGCCTGGCCCTAGCAGCGCAGGGCCCCAGCATTGCCGCTCCAGTGGCTTCGAGACAAGCTGGGGCCCCATCAACGATGCTGCTCGTCTGATGTCGGACTGGCCGGAAGTGACTTCACGTTAGTGGCGTCACTTCTGGCCTGTCTGGCGCCAGACGAGGCCACGTGTGCAGGTAAGAGGAGCTAGGAAGGAAAGGAGTGAGGGGAGGGATGCAGCCCTGACCAGCCCACCTGAGACCCCCTTCAAGGCCCACCATAGACAGTCTCAGATGGGCTGTGCAGCATCTATGGTGGGCTCTGCTGGGTCACTCTCAGGTGGGTCCCGTGTCCAGCTCGTCGCTAAGCCCTGTGTCCAGCGCGTCACTAAGCCCGTGTCCAGCGGCGGGGGGGGAGGGGGGGCCCGGCCTAAAGCCGTGTAAGGGGCCCCAAAATTTCTGACGGCTGCCCTGATTGTATCTGTGAGTATTTGGACAAGTATCAGTACTTGTACTTGAAAAAATTGTATCAGTGCATCTCTTATATATATTTATCAAAAAAAATCATACATTAAAACAGGGATGGACAAATCCCAGGAGCCCTGTATGCTCCTTACAAATGGCAGCTGCCTCCTAACTTCTCTAGTCTAGTCTTGGAGCTGGAAAAGTATTTGTACTTGTACAGAGCACGGTACTTGGTATCTGAACATCCCTAGTGGTAACTGTCTACAAAGGGAATTCTATTATTTTTGCTCACATGCTGTTGTATCTTCAGGACAGGACAAGATAAGACAAAGATAGCAAAAAACTGACAGGGGTTTTGACCACTATTTAAAGGATTTTGCCCATTCCTATACTTTGAGGTTGAGGCCTAGTGCTTAGTGGATTTGCAGATAAGTGAGGGTTGCCACACTTTTTCATATATTACCAGGGTACAGTATATTGCAACTGGGCTGATAGGATTTATAACCAACATCTATGAGTACCTACTCTATGACCGGCATCCTGTAAAGTTTTGGCTGCTGATAATTCGGACATCCCAGCACCGACGATTACAATGTGTTTCCGAGGAGACTTTGCGACGGGAGGCAATCCACATACGGCAATATTCAGCAGCTGTTCATATTCTGGATCCTGAAGACATTTCTCCAACAAGTCCGAACCTCTGGTGCTTTGACCATATGCCCCAGCCCAAACCAACAGGCTGAGAAATACTGAGGGGACAAAAAGGTTACAAAGTACTGTTTTTTTTCTGTTTACTATCAAAAATACAAACATATATATATATAATGGAGACCCCCACTGAAGATGTATTTATTTCTTGGGCTAGGCTGCTGAAGGCAACTTGCATGAGAAATTATACTTAGTTTAGAAGCTACGCTCACAAATATGAAGCCTCCACTACCTGTGTGCAGCACAAATGTAAGGGGTCTGTCTATGAAAACATTTGCATAGCTATTTGACCAGCAAAATTTGCATGTACATTCATTCAGTGCGAATTACCCAGTTGTTGTGAGAATGCAAAATCAAATGTTCTTAAGACTATTTCCTAGGGATGCATCGATACTATTTTTTCCAGATCGAGTACAAATACCGATACTTTTCCTTAAGTACTCACCGACAGCAATTACCGTTACCTTTTTTTTTTAGTGTCATGTTACAGTTTTTCTAAAACAATATAGGCTAATGATTTTAGGACAGTGGTGGAGTACCAGGGCCCGGTCCTAGCTGCAACTTCTGCAATCCTGGTAGTTATGCTACTGACTCCAAGCTGTAGAGGGATTACAAATCCCAACAATAAAATATACTGCAATGCAGAATACCACCAGTGATAGAAGACAACAAATCCCAGCAATACATTGTACATCAATGCAGAATACCACCAGTGATAGAGGACTACAAATTCAAACAAAACATTGTACAGCACTGCAGAATAATATGAAGCTACCTACTCTGTGTTGCTCACCAGGGCTGTGCGGGGTCTCAGGAGGCTGTGCGGGGTCTCATCAGCGCTCTGCGGGGTCTCACCAGGGCTATGCGGGGTCTCAGGAGGATCTGCAAGGTCTCATCAGGGCTGTGCGGGGTCTCACCAGGGCTGTGTGTGGTCTCACTAGGGCTGTGTCCGGTTTCACTAGGGCTGTGCAGGGTCTCACCTGGGCTGTGTGCAGTCTCACCAGAGCTGCGTGCGGTCTCATCAGAGCTGCGTGCGGTCTCATCAGAGCTGAGTGCGGTCTCACCAGAGCTGTGTGGGGTCTCACCAGGGCTGTGCGCGGTCTCACCATGGCTGTGCAGGGTCTCGGAAGGATGTGCAGGGTCGCAGCAGAGCTGTACGCGGTCTCACCATGGCTATGCAGGGTCTCAGAAGGATGTGCAGAGTCTCACTATGGTTGTGTGTGGTCTCACTAAGGCTGTGCAGGGTCTCACTAGGGCTGTGTGCAGTCTCACAAGGGCTGTGTGGTCCTACCAGAGCTGAGTTTGGGGTCTCACCAGGGCTGCATGCGGTCACACCAGGGCTGCATGCGGTCTCCCCAGGGCTGTGTGTGGTTTCACCATGGCTCTGCAGGGTCTCAGGAGGATGTGCAGGGTCTCACTAGAGCTGTGCCTGGTCTTACTATGGCTGTGCAGGGTCTCAGGAGGATCTGTGCGGTCTGACCAGGGCTGTGTGCAGTCTCACCATGGCTGTGTGGGGTCTCAGGAGGATGTGCAGTGTCTCACCAGGGCTGTGCGGGCGTCGGGGTCTCACCAGGGCTGTGCGGGCGGCGAGAAGGAGGAGGAGATGTGTGCCTGGCGTTGTAAACATAATCCTCCTGTCCCATCGCACTCCTGACCGGACAAAAACCCAAATCCAACTGGGTGGGTGCGGTAGTGATAACGGATGCCTCCGTGAAATGTAGATAGATTAAAGTAGTCACTCGCACTCCATGATATTAAAGTCAATGCTGTTTATTGACTGAGATAACACACTTCTCCTTAGCGACGTTTCGAGACCATGTGGTCCCGTCCTCAGGCAAACGTCGCTAAGGAGAAGTGTGTTATCTCAGTCAATAAACAGCATTGACTTTAATATCATGGAGTGCGAGTGACTACTTTCATCTACCTGGCGTTGTAAACAGGCGCCATAAAGTCCCCAGCAGGCTGCTGCGAGGTCCCCAGCAAGTGTGGGATCTTACGGCAGCTGAATGAATTACAAAATTTAAAGTGTCGTATTGGCACTTCATTTCAGGGCATTTTCACCAGTTCAAGTACTCGTGAGTATTAGCACCTATATTATTATTATTATACAGGATTCATATAGCGCCAACAGTTTGCGCAGCGCTTTATTGATACTGATATCAGTGCATCCCTACTATTTTCTGGTTGAATGTTGTTAAAATATTATGGGCAATCGTGAATCAGGAGATTACTGCATTATGGCTACTAGATGGTGCTGAGGATCCTAAAAAATAAAACAGCTTAGTAACGCTGGTCGGAATTAGCAGATAAATGTAACCATTCCTACTACAGGGGTCCCATATCTCATAATGATAAAAGGTGATGCTATTTCTACTGTATAATGTGAGATCTAAGGGATTTATCCATGCAGACATGTAAAGTTAGGCTAGCCATACACAGATTCCTGCTCGGCCATTTCCTTTGGAACCTGCCAATCAATTGTTGTTGAAGTAGCTGGGTTCTTATTAACCTTTCCTACGTTAACAATATGAAAAATTCTACTACTCTACTCTACTGAAGGATAGTTCTGCAAGATGTCTGGATCATGTTTGTAGTCTTTTCCTGGTCAGTTCCCCTGAAAATCAGTATAACCTATCATAGAAGTGATAAATCTGATAAATGTTTTTTTAAACCCCCCCCCCAAAATACTAATTGAGGTTCTCTGTAGTTCAAGCACTGTTACTTATTTTTAGTTCTGGATCCAGTTGTCAGTAGCACGTGGCCAACATGAGACAGCAAGACAAACCTTGCAATTAAAAGAGCTTTGCACAGACTTTTTATTAAGCAAAAACACAAACCTGACTTTAGAGGGGAGGAACACTCCCTTGATCAGCTATGATGTACGAGGAAAGACAAGTATTTATTGTCTAGGTGTGTGATAGCTAGATTTGGATGGAGTTGGAACCCCTGTTGGCTTTTTTGTTCACGATTCCATCCTTGTATGTGAAATGCCTTTTACTTCCTGTTATATCACTTCATAAGTAGAATGAAGTAGAGTTTTACCATCTATCAGGTGTTTGTTGTTCCCAGCAAAGAATGGGCTACGCATCCATGACTTCAGTGTTTCAGCAGAGCTTTATTATTCTGGAGAACATGCAAAAATAGCCCCGTCTGGGAACCTTCTCACCCTGGGGTCATCAGGGTCCTTTGCTGAGAAGTATTTATGGGGAGTGTAGATAAGCTCCATCTGATGCATGCACCTGAATCAGCGGACATCAACAGGCATCAACGGACTTAGTGGGCTTGTGAGCTGTCACCCCTTTTGTTATCTTGGCAGAGTTTTGTTGTTGTCTGTCACCTTGTCAGTGAGATTTCCTAACTTTTCTTTTGTAAGTTGGGGAAAATCTCTCCAAAGGGAACATCAGTGAAGACCTGATTTGGTTCTAACCCATCCCCACTCAATCCTCCCCACACTGGTATTCAACTTTAGGAAAAAATACTAGGCTCACTTGGCTTACACCAAAGATCAACAGAGAGTGTAGCCCCTACCACCTTCAGTGGAGTGGCTACTAGAATTTAGTGTTGCTAGCACTGTAATCAGTCTTGCTGATTTGTAGTCTGGTATTATTTAGCTATAATAGGTGTTCTGCTATTGATTGCGCCTATCTGCTTTGGGGCGTGACCCTGCCACAGAGTGGGACAGCCAGTAAGGGAGCACTAGGAATGTCTATGCCTCTCTAGCCAATCACTGGGCGTTTCATGGCCAGTGGTGCATGCTGAGTGAGTGCATAAATACTCAGGGTTTACCATGTGCTTGGTTCCAGTTCACTCCCGGTCTTGCCCTGGGGGTGGGATGCACGGGGCTGGGGAGACTGACTGGGCCTCAAGCCTGGAGGAGGCCACAAGTGGAAACAGGTGGGGTCTGAAATTATCTGTGGAGGAGAACCAGGGGAGCCCTATGGCTGTTGCAGGTGCCAGGGGCTGATATGGACAAGTCCGGTGTTTGTCCCAGAGAAGATCCCATGCTCATCCTTTATTCAGCTTTGGCCCTGCTGCACAGTGTCAGTTCCTGTTCTACTAAATATTCCTGCACTGTGGATGCTGAAAGGGATTGGTGAGTCAGGAGTCTATGTATTTTTGTCCATGGATGTTGTGAAAGCATAGGAAAAGTTCTTAAAGTGACTGGCGCCCATTTTGTCCCTTTTACCGGCTAAGGATCTGCCCCTGAGAATGAAATGTCAGCCCTCCCTACCCTTTGGGGGACCACCTCAGACCTCTGGGGGAGTTTTTCTTCAATCACATATTAAAACTCAAAAGGAAAAAAGTGTCATTTACAAGGACCATAATCAAGTGTAAGTCATGAGATTGTATAATACTTACATTTTCCAGATTTCCTCCACATGGTCATGTGGTGAGCAGGGTCTTCTTCGTCTTTATATCTTCTCTAACAGTAGATGGTCCTTGATGATGCATCTTTTCACTGTACGGGCAGGGCACTGTAGTGGCACCCCCATAGGAGCAGTTCCATGACACCCTGTGCTCACCATATGTCTTTTGGGTCCAATGACATTGGATGCCATTCAACATGAAAGACTGAGGACAATTTGTGGTAAAAAGACATTACTTTGGTGGAGCAGTCCCAGCATGAGGGGCGTAGTGCAGCTTGAGCAACTTTTGTTTTTAGATCATAGGACAGCTTAAAAATAGCTTGGATTGTGTTCTAAGGTTCTCAAGGGTACCTGTCTCTTTCTGTTGTAGCATAATATGAGGCCCAATACCTCCTACGAATAGCTCTGCAACAAAGAATCTCACTATTGATTGGCCCTTTCCGGCATGTGACTCTAGATTGTATACACAGTTGTCCATACATGGCTGGAATTGTATCTGTTTCCTGCTTTAGTTGAAGGAGTCAGGTGCAAAATTGTTGGCCCGACCAGTAACTGCAGACAATCAGATGCAGTCATTATTTGGGTACTCTGATAATAGCCTGGCAGGGAAGATTCCTCCATTCACACGCTTTAGCTTGGATGGGACAATGAACAAGAAAGAAAATTGATCTTTGTGGTCAGATTTACTATAGATTGCTTACCCAGCCTTTTGTTTGTTCTTACTATGCTTTGCTTACTATTAATTTGTTACTATGGCCCAGTATTTTCTGTTGGTCCGCTATGAGCGTGCTGTTTGTGTTTTATTTTTCAGGCATTTGACATGATACATTGTGGTGTTTATTTGCTACATTATAAATGCTTGTATGCTGCTTCATTGTAAGCTACATCTAAAAGAAGAGGAGAGGTGTTCCAAAATGTTATGTTTGTTTTGCATTCTGCTGCTTAATAAAATACCAAGATAAGCTCTTTAATCACACAATTTGTTTCATTACATCTTTCTGAATATTCTACATGACTAGCCTGTGAAACAGCACACAGTAGAAGGTCTGCTGCCATAAGCAGGAGATGAGCTGTATTACACATTCCCTGCAAGTTCAAGAAATAATAAATCGTATGCAATGTCACAACATTTATTTCCATCTAGAATTGCATTCATTTTTCACCAAGATCTTATAGTGAAGATGGGAGAGTCGGACCACTGTGTAAAGTCTTCTCCAGCACATCTAAAAGATTCTCAATGGGGTTAAAGTGGCATTAAAGTCAAAAATGTTTTTCCCTCCCCCCAATGTTAATGTCAGCAATTACCTTAAATGATGTCTCTTAATCCGATCTTCTTCTTCTTTCTTGTCCTTTTCATCTGTCCCTCCATCGCTGCGGCTGGTCTCTGACTCCTCTGTGCTTGCTGGCACTTCCCGTCCCACAGTGTCTGCATGCGGGTGCACGCCGTCCATAGACTTACCTTGTGTCTCTCCTCGCGTCCCGCCTGAAAATGTGATCTGCAAGATGCTTTGTGGCCGCCCGAGATTTTTCACATTTTCGGATGGGAGCGTGCGAGTATTAACCCTTTTTAAAGTGGGTTGTTTTGGGGTTTTTTTTACACTTTTACCATATATATACTGCTTGCTAGCAGTAGATATATGCAAAAACACCCAAGGCTTTAATTTTACTTTAAAGTCTGTGGTGGCCAATCCATGTGTGACAATGATGTCTCATACTCCCTGAACCACTCTTTCACAATCTGAGCCTAATGAATCCTGGCACTGTCATCCTGGAATATGACCGTGCCACCAGGGAAGAAAAATATACGTTGATCGAGAAACCTGGCCTTTCAGTACATTCAGGTAGGCAGCCGACTTTATTTTTTGGGGACATTGCTGAACCTAGACCAATAGGCTAATACAGGGCTCAAAATTTCAAGTCTTGAGCTACTAGCCAGGCCTGAAAGTTACTCGCCACCAGTTGCCGCACCTAACCCCTACCCTGCACCGACCTTAACTCCGCCCCTAAACACGCCCTCTTAAATTATCTTATGAAATTACATTGTTAAATGTTTTATTCAGAATAAAGTTACAAAAATAAATAACAACTTTTACAATATTACCATAAAGCAATGTAAACATAAAGGAAAATGTATCCAAAAATGCAGAATGGCACCAGTTATAGAGGACTACAACTCCCAGCTACACTTTATATATAAATGCAGAATGATAATGGCTATAGAGGACTACAACTCTCAGCAACACTTTATCCAAAAATGCAGAATGGAATCAGTTATAAAGTGTTGATGAGAGTTGTAGTCCTCTATAGTTGTTATCATTCTGCATTTATATATAAAGTGTAGCTGGGAGTTGTAGTCCTCTATAACAGGTACCATTCTGCATTTTTGGATAGAGGACTACAACTCCCAGCTACACTTTATATATAAATGCAGAATGATAGCGGCTATAGAGGACTACAACTCCCAGCAACACTTTATACAAAAATGCAGAATGGCACCAGCTATAGAGGACTACAACTCCCAGCAACACTTTATACAGGAAAACCCTAATCACCAAATAGAAAAACAGTAAAGAACTGCCCCCAACTTCCTATGGCATCAGTATGATGTCACATTCCCGCCAGATAATTCAAATAATAAACCTAAACAATCATGAAAGGCAATGTTTTCCAACTATCCTAAAGAAGAGACTGGAGTACCTGCTTGCAGAGCTCAAATTACGTCCATGACCCTTTGCAGATCGGTCTCCCCCCTCCTGAGAAATAGCAGCGTGGAGATCAAAGCAAGGATAACAGCACCCGGCCGTTATTTCATGCCGACTTTGTGGTGCCATGGGAACAGGGACGCCTATAGCTAGATGCCGGGCCACTAAGTTCGAGCTCATGGTCCCGTCTGCCTGCACATGCGCAGTAGAGAGCGGGTATCTATGGTGACAGTAGACGCTGGCTTCTAATAGACATGTCTCCTGTCACCTGTCTAAACAAAGACAAAATAGCCGGAGTCGATCGTAGGAGGAAGAAGCAAGAGGAAACTGAAAGTGCAGGAGAGAAGAGAGAAGGGAGAGAGCGGATGGATCTCGTGTCTGGCTCGCCCTCACTTTATTTCCACTCGCCAAATGCGAGCAGGCGAGTGGAAATTTTGAGCCCTG